TTTAAACTAGTAAAAAAAAAAAAAAAAAAAAAAAAAAAAAAAAAAATATATATATATATATATATATATATATATATATATATATATATAAAGTATATATATATATGTATATATATATCAAAGTATAAATAAATGAATAAAACAGAAAAAACATTATCAGTAATAATTAGAATGCATAGTTGAAGAAGTTAATGAAAGATCAAATTCAAATTCAAATAGTAAAATTGTACAATTATTAAAATTGTACAGAAATGGTATTAGTGTAATACTAATACACTAATACTGCAGAAGCTGTTAGAGTTACAAAAGAGTTTAAAGTTAAATGGCCACAGGCCTGAAAATAAACTCAAGACACATTATTTAATATTAGTTGTTAACAATGTACGTTTTATCTTGGGGGCGGAGCTTAATAATCTACAGTGTCACTTGTTTCTTTATCTGAACAAACCTGGATCTGGAGTGTAGGTGAATGGCTGAACATCATGGGACCTGCCAGCGTTTGTCACCACGTAGATCCCCACACAAACAGGAGAGGAGATGGCCAGGTTCTGATATGGGGGAACCTTCACAATCAGGTGATTCTGGGGTGTTAAAGGTATAAAATTAAAAATGAGTCAACTGAGTCTCAAAGCACAGCAAGTCACAGAAAGTACAGTAAACTTAATCTGTACAAGAAATGAATCTGAAAGTAGCTTCAAGCCAAAACAGTCAGCCAATGAGAAGCAAAAAAGAAACAAAATTAACCTTTCTCTATTCTGCGGCTGCATTCTTGAAATGTATCTTGAACTTTGTTTGCTTGCTCTGTATTCAGTTACAAAGGCACTTCAAACGCACAGCTTTGTAGTTTCAAAATGTGCATAAGTGTAAAAAGGAGAAATGTTACAGATTTGTCAGTTCCTGCATTACTGATCCTTTCGTTTTCAGGGGCAAAGGTTTAATCCTGGTTAAGACACACTCAGCAGAGAGTCTGAGACTGAGAGTAATTAGGTCAGAACACAATGCAACTACTGACACCTTTGAACCAAAAGCCATTTAAGATGATTATATCTGAAAGGCCCAAACACGTTGGAGCTGAAGCTTGTCTATCCAATCTTTTCACTTGCAATTACCTTTAATTGTTCAGAAAAATGACAGAACAAAAAGAAGAACTTTTCACCTGGTGGAACAGCTCCATGTCAATTTCTGCCTCTGACTTCCACGACTTCTCATCTGGAACAGAGATAATTTGTTTTCACTGAGTGCTACGTATCAAAACTGAATTAAGCCTGACAAAAAAAAAACAAAACAAAAAAACACAAGTCTAAGAAGTTGTTTTCTTTTTCTCACCTGAAATATTTTCTTGAAATATGACTTTAGTGTCTTTCAGAAAGTTTTTGCCAATGATAAAAACTTCCTCTCCGCCCCTTACTGAACCGGTATGCAGTGACTTCTTCAGTATCTCTGGCAGCCCTGCAGGCTGGGCTGTAAACAGGGAGAATGCAGACAACACTGATGAGATTAATTGATTTTTTTTGTTTTGTTTTTCTAATAAAACCCTCTCACCTCCAACACGGCAAAAAGAAGACTGTGGGGGAGGGTTTGCCAATAAATCTTATTTATCTAAGCTGATTTTCGCCTCTTCAAAAGGGAGATCTGTGTCATTTCTGATTAATTATTGCCAGATTTTTATTTGGAAAAGAAGCAGAAATATGTAACCCCAGGTTCTGTGCTAGTTACAAACTATTAAGCCATAACTTCAACAACAAGGGGATTTGAACCTTAGACTCTTGGGGTTCCAGTCAAATGCAAAGGTGCTCACAGACAGTCTACGGTTCTTTTTTATTATTATTTAGACATAAATGTCTGAAAGTAGCGGTATATGAAATGTCTATCTATCCAGGAAGTTGTGCATCCATACACTTGACACTATTTATCATCCCATTAATTCAACAAAGTATGTTATGCAACAAGAAGAGCATAACTGCCATCCCCCCTCTACAAAGCTAATCCACAGTGCAACCAGACCCACCAAACTATTTCATCTGCCGTCACATTAAAAAGGAAAAAGAGAAACAAACTTTTGAATAAGCTCAGTAATCAGTAATAGATTTTATGCTTTTAATAATCTTGTGAATTCTTAGATCTTATAACTTGCGAATATGTTCTTATTTACTCAGAAGAATAAAAAAAAAAGGCATCCGTAGTTAGGCAAAAAAGAGAAAATAAAGATGTAACGTAAAGTTGCTCGTTTCCATCTTTATTTTCTCTTTTTTGCCTAAAGTGATGATTCATTGCTGGCAGAACCACCTTCCCACACATCTCACACACGCATGTACATGAACATGCAATCATAAATGAGAGGAAATTTCTTTTTTGTGTTTTGTGGAAAGACATTTCCCGAGTTTGCACGCAAGCTCTGCCATAAACAACAGACTTCCAGACTTCTATTGTTTAGTCATGTACCTCTTTTTCTCCCCTGCTACCCTCAAAGCAGTTGTCTCAAATCCACACGTGAGCCTATCCGTCTTTCCTGTTTGTGAAAACGGACCACACCCTCACTTTGCAGGCATCTATTAAGCAACTCAGTCTAATGGGATAGTCATGCACCGTCTCTGAGTGCTAACATCAAAAAGAGAACAGCCTACTGACCTCTGGTTATATTAAAATGGACAAACAAGGCCCAAAAAGGCTCAATGATAATTATTAACCAAGTAGGTTTTAGGTCAACCTATCCTTTTTCTCCAATTCAACTAATTTGACTCTTTCATGGCTCGACTGATTTGTTTGTAATGTACCCAACTCATAGTACGCCTGTAATTTACACATTTTTCTAATGAGCCATTACCCCATTTCCAACTTGTAAATGAAAAGTATTTTAACAAAGGCAAACAGGAAGACCAACTTACTGCAGAGAATTGGAGATGAGGGCGTCTGCAGAGTGAGCACTGATCCGTCTGAGCGTGGGATGTTGACCCGAAACACCAAGCGAGCGCGTGTGCTCTTCTTCTTCGACCCCGCCACGCCGATACGGGCCTCGACATCAGCATTGCGGAGCTTTAAAATCCCAACACAGTCGACCCTAAACACAGACGATATCTAAATTTAGGTTTGGTTGGATTTGCTTCGACTTCCAATCGCAATAATAGATCTTTGCAAGATTTAATTCATCAGCATGTCGCTACAGTGCCTTATCCCTTCCCTAAAGGAATGAATGAGGTATTCATGTACCTTACAGCTCACATACCAGTTATACAATAGATTTATTGAGTTATCCCAAAGGTACAGCTGAACACATAAAAACATTTGCTTCAAATAGGAATCTTTCCGGTGTAATAAAACAAGGAAAAAAAAAAAAAAAAAAAATAATAAAAAAAAAAAATAAACAGATTTTAGAACAATAGTTAGAAAACAAATGCATTGCTTATTAATAGCTAATTTGCTACATACGCCAGTGTCATGTTGGTGCTTGGGTCAACGGTCACTTCAATCACAGTCGTGCCGTCAATATCAACCTCTTTGCATGCAGTGGTGTTGCGACCAGTAACTCTGCAAGCTTGGTAAAATCCATGCGGCTTTACGCGCCCGGCGTCGTTCCCGACAAACACCTGAAGAACCACAGGCTCACTCACACCCTCCAGCTGTGAATGACAAATAAATGTATTTGATTAGATTGTGTATCCTGGGTAAAAAAAAAAAAAAACACAAAACAAACAAAAACAATAACAACATATATTTTCTCCAGTCTTTCAGCAAGATTGGATGATAGGGCCACTTAACGTCAGTTTTCAGGTGCTACTACAGACTCTGTTTTGCATTTAGGTCTTGATACTGACATTTAACACACAATCTCTATCCCTTGTCAAATAGTTAGGGTTGTTGACGTCTCGGTTTTGTGTCTCATATAAAATCTTCATAAAATACAATAAACTTTACAGTTTTAACATGACAAAACAAAGGACAGACCAAGGGTGAATGAACACTTCTGCAAGGCAAAGTAAGAGACCCTAAAGTTACCTGCTCTTGTAAAGAAGCTTCATGTATGTCAGGCTATAAAAAGCCTGTTTCTTTCCTTTATCTTCTGCTTGTAATTGTCTATTTTTAAACCGGATTAACCTTTTACAGAACAATAAAGAACCAACCAGACTGATTCAGCTTCCAGATCTGTTGAGGGGATGGTGTGAATACTAAGGTGACAAATTAAAGTGACTAAGGCCAAGAACATTACCTAGTCCTACCTCTTTTCGGGCTCCTGATAGACTATATTAAAAAGCTTTACTTTCCGTCTAACTTAAAAAAAGGTTTTATTTTGATTACCTTGGGTTTGCAACAGCTTGGTTTACACCTGGATTTGACGGATGTGTTCAAGTGAGTCATCAGGCTGGATACATGATCAGATTTCATCCTTTTAGATTAAACGGCAGAAAGTGTTCTCTCCACCAGGATAACTGTCTCTAAAATTTTGCAGATGTTTTTCACCTCAAAGCTGATGAAATTAACTTGAATCTGCTGCAGCTGTCATGCCAGGCCACTATGTGGCGCTGTGATCTTAGCATGTTGTTGAAACGTACATACGCTTTTGACCCTTACGTCCACCTCACTAGCTTCCACCTCATCCAGAAAAGAGTAACTAACTCTGATTATCCAAGTGCTCATGTAACAATAAATATTCTTTATGAGACGTTGCACAATGCTATCCACTATATTCCCACCGTACCTCCACAGTGGGTGTGGAAGTTGCCACTCCTACTGTGGTCTCAAAGTTTCACTCTGGCTGCATAAAGTGCCGGTGTTCGAGACTTAGGTCACTGGAGGCGTGTAAACAAATGACTAGATTGCAAAAAAAAGACGTTATGGTTTCACTAAAGAGTGACTCTATGTGAAGCAGTTTTACTGTGACTTATTAATCGCAGAATGCCGAGAACACGAAGAAACACTGTCACGGTGATCTTAAATGCAAATGTGTGTAATGACGCCTATTTACGACACTGAACAAATCTAATTTAACTGATACATGATCAAGCCTGTTGCGGCACAAACTACACTACAAATATTATTACAGACACAGCGATATCATTGCTATAGCTACCTTTACAGTGGGAAAGCCTTGCTGAGTGCGGTCCTTCACAGAACCTCTGCTTCCTTCGGTCAGGTAGCGGGCCCGATGCTGAGTCTCTGGCTGGACGAGGATTTTAAGCTCCTTTCCCTCGCACTTCGATGGGAACTGCAATGTAAGGGTCCCTCCTTTCTGATTAGTCGTCTGAGAGTCATCAGAGCTGCAACAGGATAACAGTTTGACAGGAACAGTTACTCTTTTACTCTAAAATTGTATTTCTTCTCTGCTGTAACCTACCAGGCATCTCCAATACCGGAGATGCCTGGTAGGTATATGTCAAGACATAAACCGACTCCTCTTAAAATCAAATATCTCTGTACATATAAAGACATACAGATATCAGTCAGTTGTTGTGGTCTCCCTCCCACAACAGTGGAAATGCTCTGAAGTTGCCATGGTGCTCTGAGCAATGCAGATTTAAGAGGCCCTCCATCAGCCAAGCATATTCTAACCTCAGCTCTTAAAATGTTCAGAGTTATCTGTTTATTTAATCTGCTCTGCTTATCCTAGGTCTTTGAGAGAGGCTCTGTGATTCACTGTGGCAGACCATTGTTTGTATTTCAGTGTCCTGCCCCTCCCTCCTTTCTGATCTAACCGCTCTCCTTCAGTCAAACTGCTATGGGAAATGAGGAGCCAGAGAAGTTTGTTACAGATTTCCATCTGTTGGTGAGTGTCAGTGTGTCATTTCCTGATTATACCTGTCGTCACAGTTCATTAGATAAAAAAAAAACCCTCATAAAGTCAGTTAAATAAAAGAAACACTTGGATTTGTTTGCAGAATAACATATGCTGAATAGCATGAGTCATTACTTCAGCATGTACCGTGTCACGCAAAAGTAGTCATAACTCTTAAACTTTTTCACATTTTGTCATGTTACGACATAGTTTAATGCATTCTGCCAAGATCTTCAGTGACAGACTGATGCATAATGGAGAATACCAAGGAAGTGGGGGAAATTCATTTTTTATATAAAATGTAAATCTGAAGAATGTAATGTGAACTTCTATCTAACCCTATTGAAAACCACCTTTCTCTACATATGTAGAGACATGCAAAGAGTGAAACCATGACCCATTCTTCCAAATCACTTCGACTGGATGGAGCATCTGTGACATCAATTTTTGACTTGTGGCGTGAATTGCAACTAGTTTATCTCTGGATTTATTCTCACAGTTGAGGTCGTTATGACCTAAACTGCTTTACCACAAAACTGAAGTCTTTCTCAGCTAGTTTTCTTTAAGTATTACACTGTACTGATCTCCATTAATCATCCCACCAACCAGGATCCCTTTTGATGTCTGTGTGCTCCATTTTGGGGCATGGATGGTGTGCTCAGGGTGTAGTTTTTCGCCAAACCTTTAATTCTGCCTGTACTAAAAAATGACTCTCATTTGACCAGAGCGCCTTCTTTTACATGTATACTGTGTAAAAGTTTCTGTCTTGTAATATGGCCTTGTAGGGCTTTCTTTCAACTCTGTCGTAAAAGATTTTTGGAGATCACAAATAATAAATGGACTGCCTACAAAATCCCCCAATTGAAAACTTGGAAAGGCATATGATTATGCACCTAATTTTTATTTATTTTTTTTTAACTCATCTAGTCTCAGGAGATCTAGAGGGGCAGCTGTGGATATTTTCATTACGACACAGGTCAAGTTGTGTGATTCCGAACTACCTACTGACCTTGCTTTAGTTGATGTCTTGCTCTCAGGGCCGAGCTGAGACAGAACAAAGTGTGGGGCTTTGGCGCTGTCTGCGTCGAAGACGTCCATGTTAGCTCCCACTGCGCGCACCGCCTTAGGTCCTGGTTTCTGTCGAGGTGTACGCTTGCGGGCCTTCCGTGGCACCTCTGTGTTGTCGTTGTAAGAAGAAGTACTCATGATGCTGAAGTTGGACATGGAATCCTCCATCCATATGCTGTTACTCTGCTCCGAGTCCAAGGGTGCCGGCGCATCCTGGCAGGACATGTGGCTGTCGTCGAACAGGTCTTGCGGCGGCGGGGAGATGTTGAGGATGGTGCGGCGCTTGGACGGAGTCAGCTGATGGTGTGGCTGGCCATCCTGAGAGGCTGCGCCACGTCCTCCGGCAGGCTCGCCGTTGCTGCTTTTTCCACTGCCACCCATGACTCCGACGATCTCTGGTACCACTCGGCTACTCCTGCCGTCCTCTGAGTCGACATTTCTGCTGTGAGCTCCGTTCTGGTCACTGGATGAAGTGCTGGAATGCATGGTGGTGCTGGAAGAGGTGGAAAAAGCACTGCGAGGCCCTTCCGTGGTCAGAGAAGAGGACAAGGCATCTATGGTGTAAATAATTAGACAGTAAATACAGGCTGAACTAAGGTAGGGTACCAGTTCCATTTAAGCAGTAAAATTTATATTTTTTAAATTTTTTTTTTTTTTTTTTTTTTTTTTGCTTTTTCAATAAAACACTCCCCCTTCTCACTATGTGCAGTATGTGTAAATTTTGTTGAGAGCGCTATGTGATGCTCAGAAGAAGCAAATGAAACAAGAGAAGTATGCACCTTAATTGTGTTTTCATCAAGCTTAACAAGCAAAAAATCGAATGCCTCAATGTATTTATTATCATTTTTAGCATTTTGTTCTGGCTCAAACAATATGTGGCATATTACTTATTGGGACTTCTTTTATGGCTTCTTTTATTTCTCTCTCTTTTTTTGTTTTTGTTTTTTTTGTTTGGTGAAGCCACAGAGACAAAACAAAACAAGCTTCTGACCTATGAAGCAGAGAACTGCAGACCATTTTATATGCAGACACTCCCTGCTTCAGAGGGAACTTCCTGGAATATAAAAGTGAGACAGCAAATGAGCAATAAAAGCTGAACATTAAAGATTGATTCAAATGAAAAGCAAAAAAATAAAATAAAATAAAAAAATCACAGTATGATGCAACACTATTCCCCCCGCCCCACTGGGACCCAAAACAAAGTTGATCCAACATGCTGACAAAGGCTGCAATTTTAGATAATGACTGGAGCGCAGAGGGGTTAAGCTGCTGCTGAAAATCTGGATTTTCTGGTGTTTCACAAGTTTGCATAACACAAAATTGGCGAGGGGGAAAAAAAAGTCCAAACATAAGGAGGTAGTGTCAGTCTGAGCAAGTTTGAAAGCTATTAATAATGTACAAATGAAACCTTAAGACGTGTAACAAATACTAAGAGAGTCATGAAATAACTGCTGTACATAGAAAAATGGGAGCAAATAATATACTTAGCAAAATATATGCTTGCTTCGTCTTCATGCACTGCCAGCAGAAAGAGGTAAAGGAAAGGTGGGATTTATAGCATGCCAGAAGTTTTAATGACAAAAACAAACATTTGATGACAAAAGGTCTTCAAATTCTGTGGTTGCAATTTATTGTTTACAATTTTTCTCAGAGTATTTTTACCCATGGCCAGACAAGCTCTAACTTTCCAGAGAACATCAAGACACCACAGGATAAGAAAAAAAAAATCTCAAACTCAAAATGTCAACAGATTGCATGATTTTCTGATTTTGGTCAATTTTGACTCATGCTTTGAAGTTGACTGTTCTCAGTTCTGTTAATCCTCGCATATCCATCAACCTGAGAACGCACAGAAACAAGGTCTCTCTCCTTTCTCCACCCACCGAGACCACAAACATGATTATGATTATTTAATTAAATTGGAGCCTTTTGTTGTCGTGTGGAGCAGTGGAAAAGGCTAATTAACCACAGAGTCTTGTTTCTGGACGTCTATATTTACCAGCTAATGAGATTTACTTCTGTGAGACAACAGCTCCATTTCCGCCAAAGACACTTTAGCAAAAACCTGTAGGCAAAAGCATCTTTCCCAGCTTCTCTAACTTTATCATAACATTCAGTCACGCCCCTAATTTTATCTTTGACGCATTAATATTAAAGTTGATAATTATGGTCCATGTGCTGAACATGCTGTACATTAGATCTGTTGGTGCAGCAGGATACGGCAACAAAATGATATCCCAACAAGCAGGTACAGGCAAGCAAGCATGTTCAGCTGACCCAATTCCAGAAACATTAGCTTCCTTCTCCAGCCTTGTTTTTTTTTTTTGCTCACATGTGAAAAATCAAAGAGCAGCAGGCTGAGCTGTTTGACAGGTTTTCTTCATGCATGCAGGTGTTTGTGTTCGCCTACAGGTACAGACTGCTACATGAGTAGTGTTTTTATTTTTTTTATTTTTTATTTTTTGGGAGGTGGGGCAAGATCAGTCCTGCTTGGAGAGGAGAAATAAGGAAAGGAGAAGCAGGATCCTACCTGATGCTAGAGGAGCTGAAGGGAGAGGGCCTGCCTCTCCGTCGCTCTTTTGACTCATGACTTCTGGACTCTGCTGAGTGGAGGGAGGCAACTTCAGCTCACTGGCAAGAAGGTCATACACTGACTCTGTTGTGAAAGTAGGGGGACCAATAAAAGGAATAAAAAGGTGACTTACTAACAGGACTTTTTTTGTGTTGGTCAGTGAAGGATAGAGATCCCAGTGAGTCAGCCTGGAGGCTAACAGAAAACATGAAGACGACACGAGACATCAGGGTTGTGAATTTAATCTTTTTAAGCTGAGGTTATCAGAAACAATGATACAACAACAATGATGCAATTGTGCATCCGCTCAAATATGCAATTGCAGGAGCATACTCATGACCTGGTTGGCAACGCATCTGATAAAACAACAAGGAAATAGTGGCCATAATGGCTGTCATGCCGCGTCAGATGTCAAACACCTTTGCATCATTTTCAGACTCTGCAGAACTATGCATGCATGCACAACAAGTCGATCATTTACAAAGCATTAAGTAGAACGTTATGTAGGTTGAAAAGAAAGAAAATAGAAAAACTGCATTTATATATATATATATATATATAAAACGAATAATTTTCCAAAAAAGGGCCTCAAAGCTAATAGAGAAGAACTAGAAATATTATCTCGTTTTAAAACCACTCCTGTTGCATGTCGAAGCATGACATCTACATTACCAACACTACAGTCATTCTTCATGCATGTCAAAGCCTGATATCTGCATTGCCTCCACAGCAACAAACCACCAACGGTGAATGCTAAAGATGGGTGTGTCATAGACCTGCAGACTGACACTGCCTTGGGGTGCGAGGCCTCAGAGACGACAGGAGGGCTAAAAAGGGGCTGGTCAGCTCCTTTTTCTTCTGACTACACATACACACCCTGGGATTTGTCTTTTTTTCTTTCAGTTTCAAACTTGTAGATTTTAAGTGACGTCACTTAAGGCACTTAAGGGGAATACATATTGCCCCAGTGGCTCTGTACATTGTAATATTTATGCAAATTTCTAATGATTGCATTTAATATAAGAAACCGATGTGTTTATCAATCTTGTTAATAATTACCAAAAATAATTATTTTCTCTACTATTTTGTTTCATGTTACTATAATTACATGACAATCACATGATAACACTGTTACAAGTAGCGATGCTAACAGTGCTAAGCTTCAATGTAAACCCTTTAAAATCATATTTTCTTGGTTTTGTTTAGCTAAAACAGGAAACTGGCACTTAATTGTGATATTTGCTGCTGGATACAGAGTTAGCAGCAGTGTTTTATACTTTTAACGTACGTCCAAAAGAGATCATTCTGTTTTTTTTTTGTTTTTTTAATGTATCATTACCAATCTCTAATTAAAATGTTTAAAAGTTGCAAGGTGCATACCGTAGGTACCTAGCCCCTCATCCTACATATGTGAATGTCTTGTTACAACACTGGTAATTCCTTGTCTGAAATGATGTGGAATAAAACAAGCCATGAAGAGGTCAGATCGAAAGTTGTGACATATCAAACAAAAAGAAGATCTCATTACAAAACAGACAACGGGGCCACACAAAACCATTTCTCTCCCTCCTCTGTTTCTGCCTCGGGGTTATGAGGAAGAGAAGCGGGGGGGATGCTTAGGTCAACAGCATGACAACACTTTTACTAGCAGACTGATTCATTATCGAAATATTATGGTATGAACTTAGAGCAGCCATTACAGTCGCCTGACTCTCGTCTTTGCCAACTGCCAGCTTTAATTACTTGCAGCTGAGTCCCAGGGTTTGGTGCGTATATCAGATACTTGACCCTCCCATTGTTACCGCTCGCTGTGTACAATAGACAAACCTGGAACCTACTGAAACCTACCCACGCCTCTGGTCGCTAAAAAACTTGCTTTTACAGGAGCAGGGAGACCTCGTTCGTTCCCATAAACGGAGCTTAAACTGGACCCATTCTGGACCACGCTTACACAGAGGATTTCAGTGTGCTGGTTGTTTGTACTGTTCTCAAAACAAATATCTTGCATATGCATGCACAGCACACACACACACACACAAAAAAACAAACAAGAAAACACCCCGTCACGCCCACAAAAGCTCTCTCAACCTCTGAATTCACAGTTTAAATTGTAGTCGTCTTGTGGCTCTCTGAGAGACTGCACATGCAGCAACATGTGCTCAGAGTTGAAAAAGCCCTTCCAGTAAACAGATTGCCGACCGCACAGACAGAAAATATGCACTCTCTTCTCAGGAGCAGTGGTCTCGAATCACTGGCTGGACTGTTCAAAGTGTTTCCACAGCTCCTATGACGCTTTTGGAGGCAGAAAAAACAGAAACTCTCATTTTGCAGAGCGTGTTTGTGTCTTCCTGAGCAGACAGAGCGCAAGTCTTTATTTATATGTGACAGACACAGTCCCTTTCACAGAGGAGCAAATATAAAAAAAAGAAAGAAAGAAAACGATAGTCAGAAAGCTGGAAGTCAACGATATTAACTCAAACACACCACCACTCGCTGTTTTGATTTTAGTCTCATACTAGTTGCGTTTTGAAGTCTGACCACAGAAAAACAACTTTAAGTTTCCTTCCGTCAGTGAAAATCATCACGACACATTACTAAACCAGATAGCATGTGTATGATCTGGCCTGCTAATACCATTAAGATGACCTGATTTAAATAGCTTACCTGAACTAATTAAGATTCCTTCCAATCATACTTTAAAGACAAATCACGACTGGTTTCAATCCAGACTCCATGGCAGAAATTCTGCTTCATGGGATTTAGGTTTACTATTTATACCCTCACCGTCTCCTCTGATGTTTACGTTGTAAGCCTTAGAGGCTAAAGGTGAAAATAAGAAGGCACTCACCATGTGAATGGCAGGACTTAAAACTCCCCATTCATTTTCCCCCTCACATTCCAGCTGCTTGCTCTTACTAGCCCTGGCACCTGGGGCGTGGCACCCTTATTTTTTTGGCTGAGTGAGTGATTTAACTCTTTTCTGTGCACCCCTCTTCTACTCCACCCACCTCTCTCCTTGTCCTGTTTATTGTGCAGCAGACCCTTTTCTGCTCTGCATCTCGCTCAACAGGTTAGTGGCATTGTCATGTGGAATCCTGTCAGGCAGAAACAAAACAGTAGTATAACCCCGCCACAGAAAGCCTCCGTGGGCTGCACTGTTACACAAGGTGGACTGTCTGAACTTAGCAGAAACACCGCTTAAGAGGACGCGATTAGGAGGGCAAGCTTTAAGCTCACCTAGTCGGTGCATTCGGAGATTATTCCGAGCTCTGAGGGGAAAAAGCAAGCAGAGGGGGGCTGGCACCTGCAGCAAGCCATGTACAACAACCATGAAATGTTTACAGCCAAGCCTACACAAGGGCTGCCTGGGACTCCATAGTAACGCAGATCATGGGGACATGTCTTTTGAGCCTCTGTGTCTCTTGCGAGTTAACACAACAAAACTGAATAGAGATAAAACAGCACCAGCCATGCTTGAATAATGATCTGGGCATTAAAAACGTGGCGTAGACTTATGCAGTCTCAATTATTTCTATAAAACTTGGCCAACAAATTTTAAAGTTAAAATTAGAAGCTTACATGGAATTCTTGTTTAGTTAACACGTGCATAAAGTAAAAGCTTTTAGAAACTTTTTTCTTTGATTTATGGCATCTCAGGTCCTACATGAATAAATTATTAAGGCATAAAATTAGTTTTAATCCAATTATATTTGATGAACAGCTTAAAATAAGCCTGTTTGCAATGAGGCGATTCGTCAAAATAGCCTTCAACAAAAAGAAGTTGGGCTTGATTTTTCCGTGTGTCATTTTGTGATTTAAGTTTTATTTAAAGGGTATTTTTTAAACAGCATTTCAAATGTGTTAATAGGTTAAAAATAATCTATAATAACCCACCTGTTTAGAGTTGCCTTTGATTAGTAGCTAGTGGAACATTGATCAATGTACATTTGCTTGATGATTTTGATGATGGCATTTGACAAAATCTATGCTTATTGCTTGTTTCATAATTGGTTACTTTATTATGATTTTATGGTGCAAAGCACTTTGAACTGCCTTGTTGCTGAACTGTCCTGTACACATAAACTGGACATTTCAAGCCTTTCAATTTCAGATAACATGCTTTTAGATTTTAAAGTTGCGGTAAAGGTTCTATGGAACACGACAAATACGCACAGCAAAAGAATTACACATCTCCTTCGTCAGGTGTGCTGTCACAAATTCAAATCAAATGCTAGAGCCATAATATGAATGAATATTGAATATGAATATGAATAATTAGAACAACTGACAAAAATGCCAAGACTGTGACTGTTGGCTAACAAAGATGCTGAGGTAGCATATTTTCCCAGAAGCGGCAGTTGACAGTCTCAGTGATCTGACTACATTTATAACATCAGTGAAAGTAAGCTTTGCAACAGGATACAGTGATATAGAAAGTATGGGTAAAAAAAAACAAACCCTAAGCTGAGTAAACATACTGAATGTTGGGATAAATTACCTTAACAAACTTGACAGCCCTTGCAAGTGATGTTTATGTAAAGATGGCTGCAGATGTTTGTGTGTGAAAGCCAAGACATGTAGTGGTTGAAGACTGAAAACAAACCAGGAGCATGAGAAAAGAAATGTGCACAGATAAAAGCCAGCAATAGGAGTCTTTTGTCATAATAAGTGATGCATTTTCTGGTTGCAATGCTACTGATGCAACACCGACAATAACTGACCAAATCAGACAGATATTCTCAAGAATGTTGCATGACTAGGCTTACGTCAGTTACTTTACATCCTCCTGCACAACAGCCACGAAAAAAGTCACATCATTGCATCAAAGTGGTTATTGCTTGCAGAAAGCATTGTAATGCTGTTGACAAAATGTTTTTGCTAATAAACTTAACCGGAACAGTTGCACTATAACCAGAGAGCCACAGCTGACTCATAACGCTGCTGCTGGCATTCTCACTACCAGGATGATAGAGCACATTACCCCAGTTCTAAAGTCCTTACACTGGCTCAGAGAATAGACTTTAAAATATTGTTGTTAATTTATAAATGACTGACTGGCTTAGCACCAAAATACATTAAATATCTGCTGCTCTATCAACCTTCCAGATCACACAGGTCCTCTGGTTATGAGAATGCAGAACAGACCAGAACCAAACATGGAGAAGCAGCATTCAGCTTCTATGCAGCACAAATCTGGAACAAACTTCCAGAAAATTGCAAAACATCTGAAACACTGAGTTCCTCTAAATCAACTAAAACCCACCTGTTTAGAGTTGCTTTTGAAGCAAAAAAATGGAAAAATGGCCGGACAATACAATGTCAAAATGAAATGCTTGTCAATGGTTTCTCAGTTGTCGACTGTATTTTGTTTTTATGAATTTTATTTTTGTATTTTTATGATGTAAAGCTCTTTGAACTGCTTTGTTGATGAAATATGCTACACAAGTAAGTTTCATTAATTGATTGATTGATACGGAGGCCACAATATGTCTGCAGTCATGTTGACGTAATTAGTAGTTGCAGAAGCACATGTATTTGATTGCAACTGGTTTAAAGTAAAAGCAATGACCTTGAAAAAACTAAAATTGAGGATATTTGTTGATGAATGTTGTTTAAATGAGTGTGGGCATGACTGCTTTTAACTTATGGAAGACCTTTGAACATTAGACACAGCTCTTTTCAGAAATAAACTTCTCTGCAAACTAAGAGACTTAGAACAAACTTTACTTTAAGCAGAATAAAGGTTTGACAGTTATTTTCAGGCGATAATGAACACACTTACCACGTGCATCAAACTAAAGGCCCCTGGGCCAAATCTGGTCCATCATAGCAATTTGTGTGGCCCTGAAGATGCTAGATGGCCACAAAGAACATTAAGATAACAGCTATGTGATTAAATACTATTTTAACAGTAAAATCAAATGGGTTTTTATTTATATAGGGGCAAATAACAATTTTGTGATAAAAAAAAAATTATTTATTTTTCAGAAGTACACTTTAAATGGAGATGAAGCTATAATATTTTAACGGTTTGTTTGAACATCCATGACCTTGATGCGACTCAAAATGGAAATAGGTTACACACCTCTAACATAAACATACACATTTTTTTTAAAGACATGTTATTGATAGTAGCCAATGCATGCTTCCGATGATACTTTACACTTAAGAAAACAGACCACAGGATAATGTCCCAACCATCAAAATTTAGAGTATGCGGAGATAAGCCTGCACACCCATTTCTATTTTTAAAAATCCAGACAGTGCTGGAAAATCCAGAAGAGAGGAAGTCCAGGTGTGAGTTTGCATGTGTAGCAGACACAAGCATGAAGCTGCAGCCTAGTAGTCTATTACTTCTAACTTATTCTCTTAAATAACCGAACAGATGTGTTTAATTTTTATGTGTGATGACTTTGTCATATTACATGCTTCAATCGGTTTAGGATTTTAATGTATTATTTTAAAGTAAAATTAATTTTTTACTCAATATTTGTATAATTTCAATACAATGTTCTCATTACGTAAAGCACTTTGAACTAACTGCCTTGTTGCTGAAATGTGCTGCACAAATAAACTTGACTTAAATTTTTCTTTTGACGGCTAAAGTGGGAAATAAGAAAAACAGAGCAGTTTTATACAGAATTTGCACAAAGTACAGCTTATTTGACCCAACAGGACCAAAGCAAAGACCATCAGAACAACAACCGTCTGAAACCATCCATTGCTCTTTTTCACACTCCCAGTTGTTTCAGTTAAGAAAACAAATAAGGCTAGCTACCTATTCATTCTGTTGAACTTGTAGAAAAATACTGAAAACATATCAAATATTTTATAGGTAAGCAAGTGTTTATCAAGAACTAAAGCATTATAAGGGCTTTAGTACAAAAAGAGAACCCTATCAGTCATCATAATTAATTGGAATGCAGTAAGTGACTGACAATTTCTAAAGAAATATTCTTGAAGCTGTAACTTCGACACTTTTACAGCTTAATAACAAAGTCTTCCAGCCGCCATTTGAAAAGGTTGAGGTCAGTGAGGCTTTGGAACGGGCAAACTCGTTTGTGCTTAAAGTTTGGCATGTAGCTGTTTCAGGGAAGCTAATCCTGAGGCGACAATGAACAACCGCCAGGCATCAGTTTACATGACTTGCTTTCAACAAACACCCAGCACTATCGCAGACTTCACACCGAACTACAAATGAGAGCCAAACACTGAAACTGTAGCCCCATTCTGCACACAAGTAAGGCTATTTGCTGAAGTTGTTCTCTATACAACTGGGTAGCTGGGTCAGTGGTATTCCGAACTGTTTGGTGGAGACTAATTTGAGGTAAAAGTTAAATTACAGAGGAGCACGACACTTTGTAACCCATCTCTTAGAAGTGAAATCAAAAGATAAAGCAGTTGTGTCCAAGCCAGCAAAAAGAATTCAAAGTATTTACAGCACCCAAGCAGGCTCCCACACATAGATTTACCAAAACTTGCCATGTTTACCCTCAAATTCTAGAGTGTATCATAGATCTACACAACACTTTAAATAAAACCAGACCAATGTGGTTTAGTCTAAATCAGACAACATCACATAATCATTTTACAGTCCACTGGAATTGGTGTGCCAATACAGGCATTTCTGCCAGACTCACAGGAAACCCATGCTGAAGCAACAGGAAAGGTCTTTAGCAACACTGAACGCAAACATTCACTGGTCGTGTAACATCACCCAGCTATTAGGTTAACCACATCAGCGACTCATTTGAAAATCAATCCCGTTTTCATGAGCTGGCATTACATGACGCACTTTCAATTAGTCTAATTTCTTTGTTGGATGGA